TTTGGTTATCTCATGAGTTATTGGTTTCCCTTTGGTCTACACAGATTTTCAGGGAGCTTGTTGCTTGGGCAATGTCTTATACCAAGTTGCTAACCCCCTTTTTAATCCTTCCTTCCATAGTTTTCATTTCTTTTCTGATTTTTTACTTAAGCACTCTCATTTCATTTATAAAACATTTTAAACTCTTTTAAAAACTCTTCTAGTGAAGGAAGGAGGTTTAGCAGTACCAGATCTTAAACTATATTATATAGCATTAATTATTAAAACTATCCAGTACTGGCTAAGAAGAAAACGAGATCAGTGGAATAGAGTTGACATACAACTTACAGCAGCAAATGACTGTAGGAACTTTGTGTTTGACAAGTGTAAAGACTTAAGTTTTTGGGGTAAGAATTCTTTGGTGTAAATTGTTGGGAAAGCTGGAAAACAGTTTGATAGAAACTGGACATAGGCCAATACCTTACACCATTTAGCAAGTTAAGGTCAAAATGGTTACATGACCTAGATATAAAGGGAGATATTACAAGAAAATTTGAAGAACATGGAATATATTACTTGTCAGACTTATGGATAGACAAATAATTTATGAATAAATGAGGTAGAGAGCATTGGGAGGTATAAAATGGATAATTTTGATTACATTATTTTGAAAAAGTTTTATATAAATAAAACCAGCGTAGCCAAGATCAGAAGGAAAGCAGAAAATTGGGAATATATTCATAGATAGTTACTCAGATAAAGGTCTCATATCTCAAGTATGTAAAGAACTTCATCAAATCTATAAAGATATGAGACATTCCCCAATTGACAAATGGTCAAAGGATATGAACAGGCAGTTTTCTGATGAAGAAATCAAACAATTTATGAATTGTTTTGATATATATATATATATGAATCTATGAATAAATGCTCTAAATCATTATTGATTAGAGAAATGCAAATTAATACAACCTTGAGATATTGTTTTACACCTATCAGATTGGCTAAAATGATAAAAGGGAAAAGCAACAAATGTTGGAGGGCGTGTGGAAAAATTGGGACACTAATTTACTGTTTGTGGATTTGTGAACTGATCCAACCATTTTGGAGAGCAATCTGTAATTATGCCTAAACAGATAATAATCTGCCTATACCCTTTGACCCAGCAATACCACTACTAGGTCTATTTCCCAGGATGATTAGGGAAAAAGTAAGAGAACTTATATGTTCTAAAATATCTATAGCAGCTCTCTTTGTTGTAACAAAGAACTGGAAATTGTGGGAATGCTCATCAATTGGGGAATGGCTAAACAAGTTGTGGTATATGATTGTGATGGAATACTACTGTGCTATAAAAAATGATGAGCTTGATGATTTTAGAAAAACATGGAAAGATGTGCATGAAATAACAAAGAGTGAAATGAGCAGAACCAAGAGAACATGGTATACAGCAATAGCATTATTGTTTTAAGAACAACTTTGAATGATCAAATCATTTTGACTATCATAAATACCCAAATTAACTATAAAGGACCTATGAAGATGCTCTCTTCATCCACAGAAAGAACTAATAAATAGAAGTTTGCATAGTATGGTTTCACATACATACATACACACACACATATACATATTTGTGTCTAATGGTAGTCATCTCTAGGCGGGGAGGAGGAGAGGGAGGGAAAAAAAGTTACATGATAACTTTGTTATATATTTAAAAGGGTAAGCAAGTTGTACACAATAGACTTGCAGTTTCATGTGCAATCCTCTTTTTTTAATTCTACTTTGTTATGGAAATGCTTGTTTTATTTCTTAAGTCCACAATAAAAAAGCAAACAAACAAAAAATAAAACTCTCCTAGGAATTTTAGTTGTCTGTGCCCAAGCCACATTTTTCTCTGAGGCTTTGCTCATAGATGTTTTGGAGTCATTCTCTTCTCGGTGTTTGTGTTTTGAGCATGTGAGCATCCTGTAATGGCTGATTAAGGTAGTGTTCTTCTTTTGTTTGCTCATTTCTTTCACCTCCCTTCCTGACTTTTGAACTTGATGTTAAGGCTGAACTCTGAGAGCTTCTGGAGGACAAGGTCTGGGCTGGTTTCGTTACTGCTTTCTGAGGGTCCTGAATACATATTGTTCGAAGATCTCAGGAACAGCTTGAGCTGGGGACCTGCAAGCTTTCAGTGCTCCCAAAGTGGTTTGCTCTGTCTTACCCTGCCCAGTCTGAGCTCTGCAAGTTGTTGACCTGGGTTTGGGTCTGAGGAAGAGTAAATGCTGTTGGACTCTGCTTTTGTCAGTCAGCTGAGAAGCTCTGCAGGTTCAGAGCGGCAGTATTGTAACCTCCCTTTTGGTCTGAGATTCATGTCTTGGTTACTCCTCTGTAGCCTGGGCTTGATGCTAAAAGTGATGCCCTGCTTTGAACGTGGGATCTGAGCCAAATCTGCTTGCTGTATTTCCTTTCTTGCAGGGCCTTGCTATCCGGCACTCTATCCCAGGGCACAGGTCTGCCTTCCTATTCCACTTTGGATCTGTGATCTGGAATTGGGGAGCAGGCAATATAGGCACCAGTTTGCACCTGTCCCCATTGAGGTACCCCAGTGTGGGTATAATACCTCCTCTTGCCCTGGTATACAGCCTTTCCTTGAATACTGGACTGCTCACAGGCAGCTCATTCCCAGTGCCTGCAGACTTCCCTATCTGTGTCCCTATTCAGACCTGGACTGGACAAAACTGTGACTTTTTCCTGTTATTTCCCCCATCAGGTTCCAGGCTGATGCAGTTACTAGATCTCTTTGGAGGAGTTTGTGGGACAGAAACCCTCCACACTCTTCTTCCCACTTCCTCTACCTTGGCTCTGCCCCCACACCACAGCTATTGTTTATCCAGGCTTCCATCTTTCAGTAATTGTGAAGTCAGTTTTTTAAACCCCCAAGTACTGATGTAAGTGTCGTTCATCTATATTAAATTTCTCGTTTTTGACTTTATTCTATAGTTTGTCAGGATTTTTTTTGGATCTTGGCTTTATTGTCCCAAATATTGGTATTCCCTCCAATTTTTTTGTCATCTGTACTATTGATAATCTTATCTATTTCCATGTCTTCATATCTAGACCATTTATTAGAATGCTGAACATCATAGAGCCAATCACAGATCTCTGAGGCACTTTCCCAGAGAACTCCTGCTAAATTGTCTTCTAACCATTGGAGCCTGGCCATTCAACCATATCTTCCATCATAGAGCTGTCTCAGGGATAGCTCATGAGACTTTGTCAGCTAGATCTAATAGTCAGGCAACATCCATTCTTGACAAGCCCAGGTTATTTCTTAGGAATCGCTGCTTTCTTCTCTAATTGCTCATAAATGCCATAATAATAATTTGGGGAGTTTTTCCAGGAGCAGACGACCTCTTACTGGCCTCTGGTTGAAGGACTTGACCTTCAGGCATATGCCCTTCTCCAATTTCATGGCACCTCAAGAAGCAGTTAATCTGGCTCCAGCAACTTAAATTCTAAGGACAATTAAATATATAGATGGCATTGGCCATGAATTATGGAGGTTAACCTTTATCAGATCCAAACAAAAGAAGCATTCCCTCTTAGTAGATGATGTACTAATTGTGTATGTTCCTTAGGAACACCCCAAAGCTGCCTCAATAAAAATCTGAAGCAATAGGAAAGAGGTCGGACTACATATTCACATTGAAAAAACAAAATGGATGACAAATGGGTGTTGCCCTGATTATGGTACAAATCTGGATGGCAGCCCCTCGGATCAGTCCATCAATATGTAACATATCTTAGACAACTGCTACAGAATTACCTGGACTTGAAATTGAATCAGAAGAGGAGATTATGTTGTTTCCTGTTGGGAAATTGTACAGTGCCACCATCAAAGGTCCCACATTGATCTTTGCTCCAAAAGCCAATCCCTTTAACACTAATATTCTTCCAGTGGTTCTGTGTGTCTGTGAATCCTGGAATGGCAATCTCAGATGAAATAAAATTATGAATAATCCAAAGGACAGTAGAAAGAGACACTTTATGGGCCTAAATTGGCTGAAGTATGAGACCATTTAAATCTTGTCTGTGAGATGGGGTTTAGATCTAACCAGAAAAGGAGATGGGCTGATACTTGGTAAAAAAAAAAATGAACTCATTCCTTGCCTCCTTATGTAACTTCTCTCATTATTTTGTTGGTATCACCACAAAGTTCAAAAACTTTAAGTTATCTTTCAGTGTTGATTTTAATTCTCCAATGTCTTTCGTACCCTGTCTTCTCTTTCCACTCCCACAACAGCTACCTCAGTAATGATCCCTATTTGTTTCCCCCTAAACTCTTGTAATAACCTCGACTCTTCTCCATGCTTCCATCATCTTCCCCTGTCTACACCATCCCTCACATACTCCATGAGTCATCTTCCTCATGTGTCATCTCTGTTATTTTGATCTTATGATCTGGGATCAAAAATCTTCCATGGCTCCCCATTTTTAATAGAATAAAAGGCAAATTCCTCTCCTGTCCAGGCCCTCTGAATTCTACTTGACAGCCACCTTTCCAGCTGTCAGAGTCTTCCCTTTGCCCCCTTTTTGCTTCACCTTTTTTTTTCCTCTTTTTGTCTTTGTCCACGATGCCCTTATGCCTTTCCTATTTCATGGTCTTGCCTTTTTTCAAGGCTTAATCCAGTGCCTCCCTCCATAGTACCTTCTCTTACATCTCTATTCAATTTCCGAATTCTAGGACTGGAACTGTCTTTAGAGGCCAGCTGACAGATGGCAAATTAAGGAGTAACTTGGCTAGGGAGGTGGATAATTGTACATGAGGAGTTTTGTAAATCTTGCAAGATATCATTGTCATTATGGCCCAATATCATACTGGTAAGTGGTGGAAACATAACCAGCATAACTACGTCTTCTCAATCTGAGCCAATTTTTGTTGTGTTCTACAAACTCTAAAGTCAGTGCTGTGGACCCTCTTGGATTATGAACTCTGCTTTCCTTCAATACTTCAAAATGTTTTCTTTTTCTTGTAGGACAAGAAGATATTTTCCATCTATGGACACTACCCGGTAATCCGCAATACTCTACGAAGGAAAGGATGGGTGGAGAAGAAATTCAGTTTCTTATCAAAGATGGTGCCAAATGGTGAAGATGAATGTGAAGGTGACTATGGTAGTGTACCCAACATTACTGTTATTGTTCATGTAAAAACAAAGTGTGAGCTAATAGTTAGATTAACTGAAAGTTCTGAGATTGAGAACTTGATAGATGACTCCTTGGATTGTGGGACTGTTCCTGGATTATAATCATCTGTGTTATTATTATTATTCATCATTATCCACCCGTCTGCTAAACTTTGAGCTCCCTGATGGCCAGGGCTACATCTGGTTTTGGGATTTTAAGCCTTAGAGATTATGAGGAAGTTGTGACATTGGCGGGAGGCAGGGTGGCTTCCGGAGACAATATGAGGACACAGGTTTAAACGTGTTGAGTCTCTGTTAAAGGTGATGGAACAAGATTGGATAGGCAGGTTTTAATGGACAGGAAATTCAGAAGGTTAGAGGAAGGACTAGGAATGATGAGGAAAGAAACCAAAGTGAAAGGAGGCAATGACAACATCTATGTCACAGTCCTGTTTTGCAGAGAACTTTCTGTAAATTCTGTCTGTATCGAAGGCCAGGACCTGAGCCATGAGGGGCTGCCTTGGCAAGTGAATAGCATGTTAAAAAGATGGAATCTGAGAAAAGAATGGGGATTTTTAGACCACAGATTTAAATACATGAATCAACGTGGTAGGCTCCTGAGTGAAAATATCCCTTACAAAGGTGGTAAGAATGGATTTGCCAGGGCAGCTAGGTGGCGCAGTGGATAGAGCACCAGACTTGGAGTCAGGAGGACCTGAGTTCAAATCTGGCCTCAGACACTTGGCACTTACTAGCTGTGTGACCCTGGGCAAGTCACTTAACCCTGATTGCCTCACCAAAAAAAAAAAAAAAGAATGCATCCGCATGAAACCTTGAAATCTAAGCAAAGGATTTTAAACTGAAAAGGAAGAAAGAGGGGGTAAGCTTCCAATGACTGTCCATCAAGCTTAGATCCCTTACAGAATAGCTATGATACAGGAAGAAGACCCAGAGATTCACTGGAGACAAAATCTGGGAAAGTAGCCAGCAACAAAATCTTTGGCCTCAGATGTTAGCTGCCAATGCACAACAAATGGGGCAAAGTGAGCTAGAGAGTCTAATTCAAGAGAGTGAATTTGATCTCCAAGGTATCCTGGAGATTGGAGTGGCTTGGGAGTATACACCCTAGGTTGAAAGGAGCAGGTGGCAGAGAGGGGAGGGGGGAGCAACTGAATATGAGATAATAGTCACGTGAGACAATCCAGGAATCAAATGGGGAGAGAGCATGATGGGAAAGCATTTGGGTGAAGACCAGCAAAGGCAGAGACAGAAGCAATATTGCCACCTGAGCAGAAAGATTAAGGATAAGGGTTAGGAAGGGGCAGCTAGGTGGCGCCATAGTGCTCAGAGCACTGAGCCTGGAGTCATGAAGACTCACCTTCCTCAGTTCAAATCTGACCTCATACACCTACTAGCTGTGTGACCCTGGGCACGTCGCTTAACTCTGTTTGCCTCAGTTTTCTCATCTGTCAATGAGCTACAGATGGAAATGACAAATCACTCCGGTACCTTTGCCAAGGAAACCCCAAACGGGGTCACAGAGTCAGACACAGCTGAGATGACTGAACAGCAACAGTGTTGAATGTACAATGGTGAATAATAGCGCTGATAATGGGCATCCTCATTTCACACCTGGAGCTTGTTGGGAAGGCTTCCAGCTTATCCCCATCACAGATAATGCTTGCTGATGGTTTTAGGTAGATGCTTCTTATTAAGGAAAAATCTATTTATACCTATATTTTCAAGTGTTTTTAATAGGAATGAGTGTTGTATTTTGTCAAAAGCTTTTTCTGCATCTATTGATATAATCATATAATTTTTGTTGTTTTAGTTATTGATATAGTCAATTATGTTAATAGTTTTCCTTATAGTGAACTAGCCCTGTAATCCTGGTATGAATCCCACTTGGTCACAATGTATAATCTTTGTGATAGATTGCCCTAGTCTTCTAGCTAGTATTTTACTTAGGATTTTTGTGTCAACATTCATTAGTGAAATTGGTCTATAATTTTCTTTCTCTGTTTTTGCTCTTCCTGGTTTAGGTATTAGCACCATATTTGTTTCATAAAAAGAGTTTGGTAAGACTCCTTCTTTACCTATTATTCGAGATGATTTATTTAAATTGGAATTAGTTGATCTTCAAATGTTTGGTAGAATTCACATATAAATCCATCTGGTCCTGATGCTTCTTTCTGAGGAAGCTCATGTATGGCCTGTTGAATTTCTTTTTTCTAAAATAGATTTATTTAGATATCCGATTTCCTCTTCTGTTAATCTAAGCAATTTATATTTTTGTAAGCATTCATTTCACTTAAATTGTTAAATCTGTTGGCATATAATTGGGCAAAATAACTCATAATAATTGCTTTAATTTCATCTTCATTACTCCCAATTTCATTTTTGATACTAGTAATTTGGTTTTCTTCTCTCTTTTTTTTAAAATCACATTAACTAATGGTTTATCTATTTATTATTTTTTCCCATAAAATCAGCTCCTAATTTCATTTGTTAATTCAGTGGTTTTCTTACATTCAATTTTATTCATCTCACCTTTAATTTTCAGGATTTCTAATTTGGTGTTTAATTGGGGATTCTTAATTTGTTCTTTTTCTAGTTTTTTTTTTAAATTGCACGCCCAATTCATTGATCTGCAATTTTTAAGAGTTATAAATATCACCGTCCTATGTAGGGATGTAAATAGGTTAGCTCTAATGAATCCCTTACGTTTTCTTTTCCCTTTTTACTTGTTTATGCTTCTCTTGGGTCTTGATATTAAAGGTCAAATTTTTGGTTTAGGTCTGATCTTCTCCTTATGACAGCTTGAAATCCTTCTGTTTCATTGAATGACCATTTTTTCCCTTGATGTATTATGCTTAATTTTGCCAGGTAAGTGATTCTTGGTTGTAGTCCTAGCTCCTTTGCCTTCCGGAATATCATGTTCCATGACCTGTGATTCTTTAATGTTGCAGCTGCCAAGTCCTGTGTGATCCTGATTGTGACTCCTCGATATTTGAATTTTTCCTTCTGGCCACTTGGAGTATTTTTTCCTTAACGTGATTTTTCTGAAATTTGGCTATAATGTTCCTTGGGTCTTTTATTTTGGGGTCTCTTTCCTGAGGTGGTTGGTAGATTCTTTCCGTGCCTGTTTTGCCCTCTGATTCCAGGACATCAGAGCAGTTTTCCTTGATAATTTCTTGGAAGATGCTGCCTGTCAGTGATTCTGACATTGTCTCTCCTGGATCTGTTTACCAGGTCAGTTGTTTTCCAGTGAGGTATTTTACATTTTCTTCTATTTTTTTCATTCTTTTGAATTCGATTGCTTCTTGATGTCTCATAGAGTCATTAGCTTCTACTTGCCCAATTCTAACTTTTAAGGTGTTGTTTTCCTCAATTAGCTTCTGTGCTTTTTTTTTTTTCCATATGTCCAGTTGCACTCCTTAAGGAGTTGTTTTCTTCAGGGGATTTTTGTGTCTCCTTTTCCATTTGGCCAATTCTACCTTTTAACCAGTTTTCCAAGCTGTTGACTCTTTTTTCCATAATTCTCTTGCATCATTCTCATTTCTTTTCCTATTTTTTCTTCTACCTTTCTTACATGATTTTTAAGCTCTTTTTTTTTTTTTACGTCTTCCATGAGTTTTCTGGGCTTGAGACCACTTGAGACCCATATTTTTCTTTGGGGTTTTGCCCATAGGCGTTTTGACATCGTTGGCCTCTTCTGAGTTTCTGTCACTATAATAAATCTCTATGATCAGATTCTTTTTTGTTGTTTTTTGCTCATCTTTTTTTGGGGGGGTGGGAGAGTGCTTTTTTCCTTTCTATTAAATTTGAGCCTGTACCTTGGATGGAAAGGGCTCTGTCTCAGGCTTCTGGTGCCAGTGGCTAAAGGCCCTGGCTATTTACCTTGTGCTGCACTGATGTTGCCCTGAGGCCCCTGGAGGACCCTTGGTGCTTCTTTGAGGGGAGGGGCGGCTGGTGCCGCTGGAGGCCGTCGGGGTCTGCAGTTTCGCTGCGCTGAGCTGGGATCCTAGTGGTGCGGTGGCTTTACTGCATTTCCCCAGGGCTGCACTGAAGCATGTGGAGTTCTGGCCTCTGGAGGACGCCTGTCTGCCCTGGGCTCTGCTGAGGCACGTGGTGGTTCTCTGAGCTGGAGTCTGCCAGTTCAACTGGGGGGAGTCCTGGTGTTGGTGTTTGCTTGTCCCACCACACTGGGGCTCAGGATCTCCCTCACGGTTATTTGAAATGGAATTTTCCTATCTCTTCCTGCTCAATTTTGTTGGCGATATTTATACCTGCTGACATTTTCTAGGAGTTTATTTTATATCCTGCAACTTTGCTGACGTTGTTCATTGTTTTCACTTTTCAGTTGACTCCCTCAGGTTCTCCAAGTCCGCCATCGATTTATCTGCAGAAAGCGATGGTTTTGTTCTCTTGTTGCCTTCCCTTTCTTTCTCTTCCTAATAGCTCTTCGTGGTTCGGTGCATTCTTCCAGCCTCCTTGTTGACTTTGAACTTCAATAAGTACTGGAGCCTGAGCACTCCTGGGGGAATGTCTGCCTTGAACTTCTTTCCTCTTACATCTGCCTGCTGCCTTCATGGCTCAGGCTCAGAGCCCGCAAACATTCGGTGCTCCCAGAGTAATCCGAGTCTGGGCTGAGGTCCGCTCCCTGCCCTCCTCCTAGCCCAGATCTGGGTCTGTCGGCTTGTCCCTTGTTGGGACTGAACCTACTGGGAGGCTCTGTGGGTTCGTGGTGACAGAAGTTCAGGCTCCCCTTTGGTCTGGGACTTCTGCCCCGGTTACTCCCACCCTGGGTCGGCGGCCAGAACCAAGGTGAAAAGTGATGAGGACAAAAGTAAGGGGGTGATGTCGTAAGTCAGTCAATAAATATTTATGAAGGACCTATATGTGCCAGGCGCGGCACTAAGTAATGAGGATACAAAGAAAGGCAAAAACAGTGAAGGAGCTCAAAACGCAAACAGCAATGGACAAACAGAGCAAAGACAGGCGAAACTGGAGATGATCAGAGGAGGAAAGGCACTAGAATTGAGGGGAATTTCAAAAGGTTTCCCGTGGAAGGTGGGATTTTAGCTGGGACTTAAAAAGAGGCAGGGAAGCCAGGAGGCGGAGATGAGGAGGGTCAGAATTCCAGGCTTGATAGATGGTCTGTAAAACATGCCTGGAGTCAGACAATGGAGCCTCTTCTTCAAGAACCAGAAGGAGGCCAGTGTCCCTGGATTGAAGCGTCCACGTATGGGAGCGAGGTATGAGAAGACTGGAAAGGGACGGGGGGGCAGGTGGTGAAGGGCTTGTTAAAAGTTAGTTTTTCACTTTAAAAGTCTTAAAAGCTGCAGACAGGTCAAGAAGGATGAAGACTGAGAAACAATTTGCTGATTGGTAGCTCGGTGAGAGCAGTTGTGGTGGAAAGATGAAGTCAGAAGGCAGGCGGCAAAAAGTTAAGAAAAATAAATGAAAAATAAAACAGTTAAGAAGAGAGCAGGAGGAGAGGAAACGGAGGCACCTAATGTCGATGGCCTTCTCAAGGAGTTTAGCCATAAAAAGCAAGAAGGAGATGGGGTGATGGCAAGACTAGATGGATAGGGGGATTTTGAAGCTGAAGGCGACACAGGCATGTGGTAGGCAGTGAGAACACAACCGATAGACGGGAGAGATTGAAAACGAATGCTGCGCTGGGGATGACAGAGGGGACAGTTTGCTGGAGGAGATGGCATGGAATGGTGGAGGGCTTGACCTTGGTGAGGAATAAGGCCACCTCATGGTGTGAGATGGGGTGAAGGAGGAGGTGGGGCAGGAGGCACCTACCTGAGTGACTGGAGATGAGGAGGAGGGGGAAGGAGCTGACAGTGAACTCCAAACTGCTCCTCGCCTCCAAGATTGTCCGAGCCCGTAGCACCTCAGAGGCATCGAATGCAGCACCCTCACCCTCCATCTCTGGAGCCTAAGACCCCAGGAGGTGTGTGAGCTCCAGAGCTCCGTGTCACCTCCTCACCACAGTGCAGCGTGGGAGTACAGCTAGTGTGGGGAGGAATGGTATTCATGCTGGTGATTTCTTCAATGTTATTTTTTTATATAGAAAACAAATATATTGAAGATGAAGAAGATAATGAGACGATCTTTCAGAAGTCAAATAACATCCATGACGTGATGGTAGGATTACATAGATATATGGCTTGTGTGTCTACTTATGTGTATAGGTAAGAGATGAGTGCGTGTGTGTATGACCATCCTGTCTTCGTCTCTCGATTGCATTTTAGGAGGTTTCCCAGCTTTTTCACGTGCCCCTCATTGAATCCTCCCTCCAGGAAGCCTCACAGTGGAGGCTTAGCCACCTTTGTAAATGAGGAGGGAGCTCCTGGCCCAAGGTCCTACCCAGCTCAGAGGCCTGTAAGGGGCTAGACCCCCGTGCTCCCTAATCCCACCGGCCTTTGCTTCATCTGTTTCAGTTTAACTAGAATTTTCACACGTCCTCTGCCAATTCCTAGATGTGATCAGCACCAAGTTTGTAAGCACTGCCATGTTCCTATCGTCTCACTACTTACTTATGTGGAGCAAATCACAAATCCCCGTCACTCCTATTGGTGCTTCAGGGTTCATGCGTACATGCTCTTCTCTGAAGTTCTCGGCCGGCAGGGATCCCCTTGGGTGCCGTGAAAGTAGCCTGAGAAAGAAGACATCACTGTGAGGCAGTGTAGTACTGGGCATGGTGCCACGGCTGTTCTCCCACCAAGGTCATTGGACAAGGCTTTGCCCTGGACGTAGGCAGGTGACCAAGCTCACACCAGCAGGGATGAGGGAGCAGACAGACAGAGACCACCGGAATCAGTGGTCTTCAACTCTTTCAGTCTTATTGTGATGGGCTCCTAGGGAGGCTATGTCCCCCTGCCTGGCACACCGGAGTGGGGTGCTTCCTCTTCTCCTCTGCCACCCTCCTCCAGTCCTAGCCTGAGGTGGGGAATGGGTGAGGGGAGAAGCCAAGGGAGGATACAAGATATGTAATAGATTCAGAATCAGAGAGGACGGGTGCAAATTCTGCCTGTTCCTTATTTGGCCTTGGGCAGATGACGTAAGCTCTCTGGGCCTCCTTCCCAAAGTCCCTCCCAGCTCTGAAGCCTGCACCTGTGGTCTCTGCACGCTCTCCAGGCCCTCGTGGGAAGGGAAGTAGGGAGTTTCTCTTCTGAGGTCCCCGGCCCCAGAACATTTTAGAGCAACCACCGAGGGCTGATATCAAAGAACACCAAGCTTCATGCTTTCATGAATTTCTCTCAGTTTAAACTTCTGAGCTATTTTTAACACTTTTCTCGCCCCAAGAAAAGGAGGTGAAGGAGCATTTACTATATTCATTATTTCTGAAGCAGCCATGGTAGCCACAGCCACCGCTGTTAGGTGGTATGTTAGATAGCATGGTGAAAGCAGTGAAAAAAAGACAAATCTGTTTCCTGTGTGAAAGAAGTAGAACTCATGGCCTTGGATGGGCCTTGCCGGCTGTACATCCATCTGAGGACAGCTTAGGAAGGGATTCGGGCTCTTCGCCTCTCCGGCCATGTATTTACCATCCTCACAGTCCAGAGGACTCTTCCCCCAAGGGTCCGCCCCCAGTAATTTTAGAGGGTTCTTTGTTTGCTCCACATAAAGGAGTCCCAAGGAAGGCTCAGCCTGTCGTGTTCTGTCCTCCATGCACAGAACCTAGCTCTAGTTCTTGTTTGTGTTTTGACTGTTCAGAGTATGACCTTTGAAGATGTATTTGCTGTTGATAAAGAATTTCTTTGTGCCAGTCTAGGTTGGTAAAAACAAAAATTCCTTACTTTCTTTGGACTATAAAGAGGGATGTGGTTGATTACCATAATTTAAGGGGTGATCAGATGTTGAACCACTATGGAAAAACAGCTTCCTTTACCACCAAGGTGAGTACTTCATAGCCATCTGTCAGAGCAAGAGGCTTCAGGAATGAACTGAGCCTTCCTGCCCTGCTCTCTTCCCCCTCCTCTGTAGAACCAGCCTGCTGACATCCCAGTCAAGAGCCATGGTTAACGGCCTGGCTTTTGTTTTTGTGTTGATATGCAAAGGTCACAGGCCGCTTCAGATGTGATGTCCTTTTTTGGGGGGTGAGGCAATCGGGATTAAGTGACTTGCCCAGGGTCACACAGCTAGTAAGTGTCAAGTGTCTGAGGCCAGATTTGAACTCAGGTCCTCCTGACTCCAGGCCCGCTGCTCTATCCGCTGTACCACCTAGCTGCCCCCTGATATCCTTTTAAAGGCAGTCACGGGCCCTTGGACTCAAGGGAGCAAACCCTGCTTCTTCATCAAAACTGTTTATTCTTAAATAATCCATAATCAAAATAAGTTCTGATCTAAATTGGTCCATGCACACGGAAGTGAGAACTATTGTGATTCTCAGCCTGTGTTGTCCTGCTGCAGCGGGTGTCTTCCGTGATCTGAGGGCTGTGGGCAGGCCAGGGGGGCCGCTCAAGCCTTTGCCCGAGCCTCAGGACCCTCTGGCCTGCCTCCTGGGCCCGACTCCAGGGCTATGGCTAAACAGCTCTCTCTGTGGTCTGTCCAAACCGGGCATTCAGCTACTCTCATCCTGCTATTTTTCCTGCTGTTGTTGTTATTGTTATTATTATTTATCTAGCTTGTTTTTCCAGTGTACAGTTACAGAAACTAAGACTAGGGGAGAAGAAGCCGCTCTGACCAGACACGTTTTTCACTTGGTAGCCAAACTTCTGGTGATACACCTGTCCATGCTGACCTAGGTGAATTATTGAGTGACAAGCATACAGTCCATCACCAGAGCCAGGGTCCCTATCTGCACAATGGGTGCATTTCCTACCTTCCTTCCTTACCTCATAGGGCTGCTGTGAGGAAAAGCGGGACAATATAAGTAAATTGGGGGCTGCAGAGGTTGTAACTCACTGCCCCACGTTGGAGAGCCCACAGGGGCATGGGAGGAGGACAGACCCATTTTGCAGTTGGGGACAATAGTGCTTGTGTTCTTTGCATCATGCATCCTTTGGGGCCTCCCTCTATGAAGAGCTTGGTCTACAGTGGTGCCTCCAAAGGCTGCGTGGTTGGTGCCTGGGAGAGGAGTTACTTGTGCAGTCAGAGTGGTGAGCCACAGTGCAGACTCTCAGCTCCTAGCCTCGCCTCAGGACAGTGTCCCAATTTCTGTTACTCTTCTGCTCCCCCACCCCCACCCCGTATTGGAGCACATACCCTCTAGGGGTAAAGTGGAGAGCTAGATGGTTATATCTCCCATTCCCTGGTTGCCATGGTGCCTGGCACCCGTGCCTGATGTCATGTCTTGTGACAGGGGCTATGGAGGAGAAGTAGCCCAGAGGAGAAAAGCCTGTGGTCTTTGGGAGGCCCACGGTTAGCACTCCTCCGTTGGGCTGCAGGGCACGCTGCTACAGTTTAGAAAGAACATGGCTAACTTGGAAAATGTCTGGAGGAGGATGTTCTGGGGAGGGATGGACTGAAGAATCGGAAAAGGGAAGATGGAGAGAGCCCCAGAGAACTCCCTTCAAGCGAGGAGGGTCCATCCCATAGAAAGGGCCTTCGCCTTGGTTGCCTTGGGCCCAAGATGGCAGACCCAGCAGTGAGGGTAGAGGTCACATGGAGGCCCGCTTTGGGCTCACTGTCAGGAAAACCTGAGTGAAGCCACACTGGCTGCCTGGGGAGGGAATGCCTTGGGAGAGCAGGTGGTGCACGGTGGCCCGGAGCTGGAGTCAGGGACTCCAAGGGGGGCATTCTTGGACGCCCTCTGGCGGTGGGACCCTGGCTGAGCCACTCAGAGCCTTAGTTTTCTCCTTGGTAGAAAGGGAGTAAAGGCTCCCCTCTCACAGGGTGGTGGGTCAGTCTGACTTCACTCTCTTCAGCCTTCCCCTGTCGTCCTCACCTCGCTGAGACCCTCACTTGCCCTTCCTGGGCTCTGGCACTAACCTCTCCAGCCTTGCCAGTTCCCTCTCTGACCTCTGGGGAGGTGGGGGGGGGCCTTCTTGGGCCTGCGGCCCCCAGGTCCCTGCAGACAGTACGCGCTCACGAAGCCGGCGTTGACGGTCACTCATCTGCTTATTTTTTGAAGATTGGATTGTGCATGAACATGCGGAGTCTGCCTTGGTATGTCCCAGCTAATCCTCACTCCTTCTTCCCTCGTTGTTATGGTCTCTGCTCCGAAGGCGAGAAACAGGAGTTCCTGGGTGAGTGTGGGACCGGTGTCACGTTAGACTCTCCCTCCGTGGGAGCCGCCCGCCGGCCTGCAGGGGCACAGGTGACCCAGGGCTCGTGCGTGGCAGCAGATGCTTCTGGCTGCGCTCCCTGCCCCACTTGTCTCTGGGCACTGTCTCCCCCTCCCTTTTGTGGTTTATACTTTTGCCATGGAATGAAAAGGCACGAGAAGAAAACAGTTAACAAAACGAACGATCTGGTCTATAGATTTTGCCAAAGTAATCTTTGGTTTCTAAATGCTCTGACAACAGATGCAACATTGAGCAGGTGTGAATGATGGGTGACTAGTGCCCAGAGACACAGGCTTCTCTCTTGGCTCCGGGCCCTGGGTGGGAACCTGGAGAGCCTCTTTCTGGCCAGGACAGTTGGGGGCCATTGCAGCATCACGGAGTCCCCAACGGGAACAATTGTGTCTTTCTGAAAGAGCCCTTCCTAAAGTGGCAGCTTAGAAAGCATTCTCATGCCAGTCTGGCACCCTCCAGGAGGCGGCCCCTATGTCTGCGCAAAGCCCGTCTTTCCTTCCTGCTCTGCCCCCCCCATTACTGGCACCCAGCAGGCTGCCCTTCCTGCCAAAAGGAGTGCTGTGATGCCCTCTGTACAATCCTTCAAGATCACATGCAGTGGGCGCACCAAATCCCCACTTTTCAGACAAGTTAACTGAGGCCTGTGGAGGTTAAATGACTCGCCCATAGCCCTACAGCAAAGTCAGAAGCCAGGATCTATGGGCATCCATTGTGGGGAGCTTGAGGGGGGCTTCATTTCTTCAGAGAAAACCAGATATCAGTGACAAACATTTTATACGCTTTGTTATCTAATCGAAATGACAAATGTGTGTTTTCCTTTGAATGTGGGTTAAGTTGTGGTTAGCAACCACAGGTGCAACTAATTGAAAAATCTGGGAAATGGCTTATTAATGTGCAAATGTGGTTGGATTTTCCTGGTATTCTCTGTTTGAGAAACTCCCAATACAAGGACTTGTGAAGAAGGAAAGCCCTGAGCAGGAAGCTTCACCTCCTCCAGAGCTGACCAGCCCCATCCTGGCACCTGTGAAAGGCTGGTTCCTTCAGGAGGCTGCCCAGCTTGGCCCCTCCCCACCTTTCCAGCCCCTTATTCTTCAGGCTGTCCACCCTCCAGCTCCACCGGCCTTTGCTGCCCGCTCAACATGAGCCTCCATCTCCCAGCTCTGCCTTTGCCCTGGCTGCTTTCCCCATCTCTCTCTTCCCAAGTCCCACCTTCTGCGAGAGCTCTTTCTTGCTCCATCCCTCTAAGCCCACCTGACCCCCCCACCTCCTATTGCTTTTCTTCCCAGATGCTGTTCCACCTTCTCTCTCTTTCTCTCCTGTCTCCTCCCCTCTCCCTCTCCTCTCCTTTCCCTCTCTTCTTCTCTTTCTCTCTCTCTTTCCCTCTCCCTCTCTTCCCTCTCCCTCTTCTCATTCTCTCCCTCTCCCTCCCTCTCTCTTTCTCCTCCCTCCCTCTCTTTCTTCTCCTTTCTTTCTCCCTCCCTCTATCCCTCTCTTTTTCTCCCTCCCTCCCTGTCTTTCCTCTCTTTCTCCCTCTCTTTCCTCTCTCCCTCCCTCTTTCCTCTCTCTCCCTCCTTCTTTCCCTCCCTCCTTCTCTCTCTCTTTCACCCCCTCTCATTCTCTCTCTCTCTCCTCCTCCTCCTCTTCCTTCCTTTCCCTCTCCTTCCCTCTCTCCCCCTCTCTCTTTTCTTTCTCTCTCCTTCTCTCCCTCTCCCCTCATATCTTGTATTTACTGTATTGGGTAGGGCAGATTTGGTTTCTTTTGGACTTTGTAATCCCAGGGCCTTATATACAGCAAGTACCCAGTAAATATGAGTTAGTTTAAATTGAATTCCTTGTGTTGAAATCTATGGAAGGTGTTTACATTACCATTCACTCCCTCACAAAGAATCCCTTCACTTTTCCATCCAATGGGAAGACAAATCACCAACTTTCTCATTTTTCAGACGACTTCAGGCGGACAGCTGCATCTAGTATCCTGAAGTGGGTTGTCAGTCACCACAATTATAGCAAGAATAAATCCAGGGCCAAAAAAGAAGAGAATGATGAAGAGACGAGCCAAAATAAAGGTATTTTTGGCAACAATAACAAAAAGGATTTATTGTGCCATAAGAAAAATTTAGCTTAGCTGCGCTCCAACTACCAGGAAGGGGCTGGAGTAACTATGCACAGAGGTCAGGTCCTGAAGGAGGGAGGATTCCTACTCAAGGTGAGGGGCACAGGGACATAGGCAGTGGAAGGAAGACAGAAATGCTCAGTTCTCACTTTGCTTGTTTTCTCTGCCAAGGAGAATGATCTTTGGCCTGGAAAAAAAACAGAGCAGAATGGGCTAATGGGGAGATTATATCCAAAACAAGTAAAGAGGTGGTAAAAAAAAATTTGAGTTAGTTGTCCTTGATGATTTCAGGTCACTAGACTCATTAACTACTTAAGTAGTTAATCTAACTACTCCCCAGGCTACTGAAAGAACGGGCAGATAAGGTTGTTTGTTGATGATCTTTGAAAGGTCCCAGACACTGGTAATGGTCCAGTAGCATTAGATAAAAGCAAATGTTACTCAGGTTTTCATAATTAGGAAGAGAATAGAGTTTGCAAAATGTAGACCAATGAGCTTGACTTTGATTTCTGGCAAGATTCCTGAACACATTATTAAAGGGATGGTTGATGAACACTTGGAAAAGGAAGCAGCGGTAAATCACCAGCACAGCTTTGTCAAGAACAAGACTCACTGTTTCCTTTTGGGAGCGGGATTAATAAGTTGGTAGAGCAGGTGCGTGCTGTAGGTGGAGTTTATCTAGACTTTGGTAAAGCGTTTCCCAGAGTTGCCGCTAATCTAAGCTTGGAGACAAGCGGGCAGTGAATTTCTGCCTCTCCTCCAACACTCTCCGCAGAACCCAGTTACCGGTGGCTGTTGCTGCTTGGGCAGGGAGCAGTTGCTGTGCCGGTCTCCTTGAGCGCTGGGAACCCTTGTGCCAGAATTCTCCATTCCTTGGTTCCACGGCAGTTTGCTCATTGGATAAGCTGGGCTGTTGCCACTTGACTGGAGCTCCGGTCCTTCACACACATTCACTCCGAAGTTGTCTCATAGTTGTACTCTCCACATCCAGAGTACGCTCGTTCACACTTTCTTTTGAAGACCTTGGTCCTAAGTTTTGCAGTGAGGAGAGGTTGTCTGGGGCCATCTCAGGATGCCCATAGACTCTGCTCACCCGTGTCCAGGATCCTCACAGATCAAATGCCTTGGAGAGCCCTGAGCCCTTTCAGGGACCTTCTCTTTCAGAGTCCGGCTTGGGCCCTTTACTTGGCAGACGCTTCCTTTCTGGCTTGGCCTCCCTTATTTCTGGTAGCTCATCCTCATTCCCATCCGAGGACAATGCTCCAGGCTGACACGCTGGGCAGTGGAGATCCCCCTTCTCTGTGTTAACTCTCTGGCTCCAGCTGACTTGCCATCCCATTCTAAGGATCAGATTCATCTGCAGGCATGCAGTACAAACTCAAAAAATGAAAACACAACAAAACTTTACTTGAAAGATATGAGACAACATGCCAAAGTGTGGTCTTTTTGGAGACTGTGCGGTCCAGAGCACATGTTGACTCACCCCGTATACACGTCTAGGCCAGTTAGGACTGATCAGACAGCAGGTCAGCGGGATATCGTGTGACCGTTCGTCGTCTCAGAACTTCCCAGAAGCGCAGCCCCCTGCAAAGCCAAGAGCTTCAGTTTCGTTGTCAGTGAGAAAGCAGTGAGATTCATGGTGAACACAGCAGGTGTCAGACGGTCATCCCTTTCCTGGTATGAGACCCCTTCTGAGTGCCCTCAGCTGGCATCAGTATGTGATGCCGGGGCTGTTTGCATCTGCGATGAACCATCTCTGCAGCTGCAGTAGTTACTGATGAACCAAACCCGTACGTATGGACCAAAGAATGGAGAATTCTGGCACAAGGGTTCCCGGCGCTCAAGGAGACTGGCACAGCAACTGCTCCCTGCCCAAGCAGCAACAGCCACCGGTAACTGGGTTCTGCGGAGAGTGTTGTCTCCAAGCTTAGATTAGCAGCTCACGATACATGTATCATCCCAACGGTTTCCAAATGCTGCTGAAGGTTCAGTCAGTCAGGAAGCATTTACGAGGTGCCTGGCACAAGGAAAGGCCAGAACAGTCCCTGCCCTCAAGGAGCTCCCAGTCTAAGGGAGAAGACAACACACAACCGGTAGTAGAAGATATGTATGGAATCGGTGGGAGGTGATCTCATTAGCAGGCTGGAAAGTGGAGCAGTGGGGGAAGGGACAAGGAGAGCCCCTCCTGCAAGAATGTAGAATTGATTTCTTCTGGCTCTGTTCAGAAACACATGAACAGGATCAATGGAGGTAGACGGTGGGAATCAGCCAGAGTCGGTGATGGGCCAAGATGTGGTTGGTGACAGGACAGGAGGGCAAAGGATTCCGGAGGAGAGCATAATAGAGGACTGAACTGGTCAGCCAGGGAGTCAGGATACGGAGAGGAGGAAAGTGAGGCTGGTGCTGGACGATGGTCTGGGAAGCATGGAAGGGGTGTGTGGATTCTGAGTCACAGTGAGGGTGAGCAGGGTTGTGGACAAAGATAGAATGTGGTCAGACAAAGGAACTTCAGAGTGCGTGAATGTGGAAGTGGGGCACTTGTGGGTGGTGGTGTGAGCAAAGATCTGCTCACCTCTGTGCATGGCTAGGAGGGTGGAAGAGGAGTGAACTGAGGACCTGGAAGGTGTGAGTGTTTGAGGGAGCACCAACACATGGACTGAAGTCTCTCAGTGTGAGGACAGGGGACGGGATGGGAAGAAAGACCACAGACCAGGCACTGGATTCTTTGAGGAAGGAAGGGGAACGTCTTGGGTGTCACCCAGGATCTGGATCAGGCCCGACCACCTGCCATGTCATCACAGGTGAGATGCTGAGAGGCTTGTGAGAGAATGGCAGTTTTTTGCACATGCCCAATGAGCGTCAACAAATCCTAGGTGAGCCCTGGGCTCTCAGTGTCTCTGACAGCGGCCTGGTGATGACCACTTCTCTCTTCTTGGGCTCCATCCTGACTTCCTGCTGGGATGCTCTCTGAGTCCTCCACATGACAGAGATTTGGCTGAAGCTGTACATTCTTCAGGCCTGTGTCTTTCAGCCAGTCGAATCCTTCACTTTCTTTGTTCACGTTCTTTATACACCGATCCCAAAGATGGTAGGTGAGTTAGGTGATTCATGTCACCAATAATATTATTCTCCCTAAGCTGTTGAAAAGTTGGCCCCCGAATTCCTTGAGGGATACACTTCTCCTGGTAGAACCCCACTGGGCAGGTGAGTGTTGTCTTTTCTTTGACTTTCCCCATCTTGGGAATCATGGTACCCACTGTATGGGTCAAACACTGGAGATCAGAGGCTGCCTATCAACCAGTCTTGAATGCATGCCCTGGTTTGCCTTGAGTCTCTTGTTCAAAGAGACAAGGTATACATTCAGATCTTTCAATGCTTTTCCTGTCCTACAACTTGAGACTTTGTGATGATGTAACTGGATAACAGTTCTTTCCGGTGATTTGTGATGTCTTTGGGCTGCTCCCAAAAGGAGTGAGTCACTGAGTCTGTGTTCTTTCACTGGTTCTCCGCTGATTTCTGTGGCTTTTCTAAGTTTCTTCCCCTATCCTCTTATCACCCCCTGCAAAATCGGAAAGAAACCACGCCTGGTCAACCCGTTCACAAAGGCTGGTTTATTTTTAGATTCCATTGAGCATGTGGCCGTTTTTCCTTCTAAAGTAAGGCAAGAACTGAAGTACCAGCAAAGGACCCACAATGCCTGTGGCAATTTTGTGGACCTTGGTAGGAGGTGGTTTCAGGACTCCCAGGCTTTCTAGAGCTACTAAATACTGAAGCGAATTTCCTGCCATTAGAAAAGAAAAAGCATCCTGTCCTTTCCCCCTAGACAAAACTACTAGCGATACCTAAAGCTTTTATGTGCATCGAAAAGATAGACATGCTACCAGCCGTGTGAGTTCCCTGTGTCTCTGTCTCTGTCACTCTCTGTCTCTGTCTCTGTCTGTCTCTCTCCTCTCTTCCTTCTCTCTCCCTCTCCCTCTCCCTTTCTCAAAAGTGAAGTGGGCTGCCTTGGGAGATGTGTTGCCGGTAAGTAGTGGTCTTCAGGTAGAGGCTGGGTGCCCACGTGTTGATGACACGCTGGAAAGGATTCCTGCTCAGGTGCAAGCTGGACTAGATGATCTGAGGTCCTGTCCAGCTCTGAGATGCTGTGATTCTCTGATACCCAAACATACCTCTGGGATGTGTTTGCTTTTCAGATCAAGCTAATGCTGATGAAAAGAAACTCATAGACCTCCCAGGGCAACTCATAGAGGTGGCTTGCAAGGTGTGTGAGGACTACCTCGGGCAGTTGGAACACAATGACATTGATGTCTCGGCGGAGTCCCTGAAAACCCTCTCTGAAGCCGAGTGGAAGGAGCTGGTCCAGCAGTACTACGACCTCATCCAGTAAGACATTTGTCTTTCCCTTACTGTATGTAATGCTGGGATCTGGGGCCCAGGCAGAGCCTTTCTGGAAATGAAAATGAAGCAGCTTCCTCACTGTCCTTCGGAGCGTCTGCCCCCAAAGCTTACCTGGAATAGAAACTGATCCATGGAAGGTTAGGTTCAATAAGGAGAGAACTGGAAAAGGAGTCAAGTAGCTTTCACTCTACTGGGGAGACGCCATGTCACATCTGAGGCCTACCCTCTTCAGAGAGGGCCCTGAGAAAGGCTTCACCCAAGGTGCTCATGACCTAGAATGGTCACTTCTGTCAATGTCTGTAGTTTGTGAGCAAAAGACATTTAATCAAACAGCAAACCAGCATCACCAATGCAGTGTGAGAAAGGATCCCAGAGGGCACAGAGAAGGCACATTTTCCCAGGTTACCACCATGCCAGGTGGGGAGAGTACACATTTAGAGAATATGTGAGAATACACGTGTAGGTTGAGCTCACACACACACACACACACACACACACACACACACACACACACACACACACATATACCCCAGACACCTGGACAGAGTACATATATGTCCAGGGCAACTGACAACTGATCCTGCAGAGCTGTCCTTGTCCTCTGGTGATGTCATCCCACTAGTCTCTGCTGCTCTCTCTACCCCCCCCCCCCTCCCTCCCTCCCTCCCTCTTTCTCCCTCCCCCTCCCCCTTTCTCTCTCTCCCTCTCTCTCTGTCTCTGTCTCTCTCTTTCTTCCTCTTCCTCCCCCTTTCTCTCTCTCTCCCTCTCTCTCTCTCTTCCCCTCTCTCTCTGTCTCTCTCTCTTCCCCTCCCCCCTTTGGATGGGGTTGTGTCTCTTTTCTCTGCTTCGCCATCTATGCTGGGTGACCCTGTTGGTCTCATGTTGGCCAAGCTGATCTCTAGCCTCATCTACTTGGCTTTAGTTTTTCCACATCCTCAGGACCATTTGAGCCTGTTCAGGGCCATCTTTTGCTCTTTATCACCCTGGGATAAAGTCTCTAGAATCCCTTGTCACCCTTGATCACTGTGGCTGTTTAGGTATCCTCAGGTGCCCAGCTTTGCCAGACCATACAAGAGACACCTAAATCCAACAGTAAAATCATTAACTTAAGATCTGGATAACAAGGAAGAGAATGACATGGTTTAATCCTTTTTTCTGAAGGAAGGGGGTGGAAGAAGGGAGAAAACTGGGAACTAAAAAGTAAAAATTAAATAAATTAACCAACCCAAAAAAGCACTTTCTGCATCTGACCACAAGCAGCTGCAGTCTTCTGCCTCTCCCTAGAAGAGAAGATCGGATAGAACTCTCTAGGGAAAAGCTTACTGAAGGGCCAGAGAGCGGCTTCAGGTCTTCAGTGGTCGGGTGAGGAAAGTGCTCCCCCCCCCCGACAGTGTCCATTCACTGGCCAACGTGCAGGTGTGTCGGCCTCCCAGGAGCCTGCTGCAGGAGCATGGCTGAGTTTCGTCCTGGACTCCCGTGTGTGCGTGTTTCCTTCTTTCTCTGCCCCCTTCTCCTGGTGCCACATCTGACTCCTTTCCACTCTGAAGCTATCCATTCAGAGAATTTCTAACAATGACCAATGCTCTCTCTGCCCCGAGCATCATGGGAAATTAAGTCCTAAGACATTTTGTTCTTGGTCATGTCCTTGACACATTACGCGGGCAAGGAGATAACTAGAAACAACCATATAACAAGAGGATTTTAATTTATTTGGTTCTTAAACATTTTCTTACATCTTGTTCCACGTCCTTTTCTACAATCCTTACTAAAAAGTTACAAATAAAACTGAAACTGCGTTTATTTTTAAAGCATTTGATGCAGTTTTATTTCCCACTTAAGATAGGATGTCCCTTGGGGAGCTAGGTGGCACAATGGAGAGAGCTCTGGCCTTAGAGTCAGGAGGACCTGAGTTCAAATCTTCCCTCAGACACTTGATGCTTACTAGCTGTGTGACCCTGGGCAAGTCAAATAACCCCGATTGCCTCACCAAAAAAAAAAAAAAAAAGGCTAGGGTGTCCCAAAACTCTTGGAGCGCTGGGAATAGTTTAGAGAATGGTCCAGCCCACACTCAGCCGAGATGAGCCCTTTCTATCTTTTCAGATTAAAACCAACCACAAGCACTCTCAAGTGAATTCATTTCAATTCAAGTAGCTTTTATGAAACAACTGCTGTGTGCACTGTGCTAAGAGCCGGCGTGCCAAGGCCACCTTCTCCTTTTCTTGGCCGATGACCCATTCTCTTTCAGTTACATGATGTTTTCCTCTTATGATATCCGCTCCCTTTGGGCTTAAACAGAGTTCTTAAATGAAATGAGCACAACATGCAGCTTGCTTACAACTTCCCCCTCCTACACACATTTGGTTTAGTCTTGGGGTTAGATGGTGTCACCCTTCAAGTTTTGCATCAGTCAATGTCCTAAGCGGGGACATTAGGACAGAGATGTTGAAAAGTGGATGGACAAGACTTGGTTGGAAGGAGAAAGGGGCCTCGAGTGATGGGGAAGTCTGCAACTCTCCCCATGGACTATGGGTCTAACCTTTTGAGGAAAAAATATCTTCTCATGATCCATTGAGGAGACGGGCAAGTCTTAGATGTCACCAAGAGTTAAGGCAGCTCTTCTTGGCCTCAGGAAGAAGAAGGATCAATCAACCAGCATTTATTAAGCACCTGCTATGTGCCAGGCACTGTGCTAAGGACTGGGGATACAAAAACAAAAAGGAAGAATTACCTCTCATTCCAAGGAGCTTGCATCTTATTGAGGAAGGCAATATGTATGTGTATATTGTGTACATGTGTGCATATATACATATATGCATATGTATATATAATATAGGGAATAAAATGCAAGGTGGTTAGAGAAAGAGGACACTAGCAATTTGAGGGGATCAGCAAAGACTTGGTGCAGAAGGTGGTACTTGACCTTCATCTTGAAGGAAGTGAGGGGTGTTATGAGGTGGAGGTGAGGAGGGAGGGCATACCAGGCAGGGGGCAGGGGGTGGTCAGTACAAAGGCTTGGAGATGGGAGAGGAGTGCTTTGGGTGAGGAACAGAGAGAAGTCATAAGGACCTGATTTGTATTATTACTAGTCTTTAGGTCAGGGGTGGGGAAGCTGTGGGCTCGAGGCCACATGTGACCCTCTAGGTGCTTGGGTAAGGCTTTTTGACTGAGCCCAAGTTTTACAGAACAAATCCTTTTATGAAGGGGATTTGTTCTGTGAAGTTTGGATTCAGTCAAAGGGCCGCACTTGAGGATCTAGAGGGCCAGATGTAGTCTTGAAGCCATAGCTTCCCCACCTCTGCTTTAGGTCTACCATTTCTTATCTAAAAGACTTTTAGTAACCGCTAGAGGCAGTTAGGTGATAACACGATGCACAGAGCAGCCGGCTTGGAGTCAGGAAAACCTGAGTTCAAATGTCGCCACAGACACTTACTAGCTGGGTGGCCCTGGGCAAATCACTTATAACCTCTTTTTGCCTCAGTTTCCTCATCTGTAAAATAGGGATAATAATAGTATTTCTCTCCCACCTGCTAGGGTGATTATGAAAATCAAATGAGATAATATAGTGCCAGGCACATAGTACCTACTATGTGAACAGACTGCTTAGGAGAAGGGGAAAGAGTGTTATTGGGAAGTCATATGACTAGAAAAAACACAAGCCGATCACATCGGACCTAGGTGACCTTCTGGTCCCACAACTGAAAAAAGAATCTCACCAAGTGGCTGTCCAGACATTACTTGAAGAACTCTCACACAAGGCCAGTGGATGTAGAAGGCGACACATTGGGTAGATGCCCTGTGAATGACTCATGAGAGGACATGGGTAAGAGCTGCTCAGCGTGGGATGAAACCTGCATTGTTGGGAGATTGTCCTGCCATAGAGGAAACCCCAAATCTTCCTGCTGTGTTAAATTCCTGCCTTAGCCAGGCTGGTCTACTTGTCTCCCTTTCCCATCCACCGTCTCCAAGAATTGTGATTTCTTCCTTGTGGAATTGTGCTCATGTTGTCAATGTGCTCCCTCAGCCTGAAACCCTACGCGCTTGCTTTCTCACTTCACCTCTTGTGTGAAACCCTCCTCTGTCCCGCGGTCTCTTTGCTCTCCTTGAGTGGCTGACGCTTAGGATCTACTACTTCTATAGTAGATTGATTTTCTGCTGTCATGAGTAGTGCTTTTATCCCATGGAGAGGCATCAATCACAAGCATTTATTAAGGTACCTACTGTTTGCCAGGCACCTTGTGATGGGTGCTGGGGCCACAAATGCTCTCAGGAAGCTCGCCGTCTATGAAGGGAGAGATATTAGCTTCTGGAGGGCATTTTGCGGGAACTGGTTTGTATCCCTCCCAGGTGAGCTTGAGGCTGAGGATTGTTGATCCCTTGGCAGGATATTAGTGGTTGTGGAGGTCATGTCTTCTTCCTAGGAGAACTGGAACCCAGCACAGCTCTGAGGCCGCTCAGAGAACTCTCCCTTTTCTCTCTGGTTTCCACCATTAGGAGAAAGGAGCAGCTTCTGGTGTCACCCAGAGCCAACAGATCAGGGCTAGTTCTTGCCCTCATGGAGCTTACAGTCCTAGGGAGGGGGGTGGTACAGAAGAGGCAGATACAGAAAGTTTCACTACTGATATGACTTGGTCAGTAAAAGAGGGACAGATCAGGAAGGCTGCCTGGAGGAAACAACATTTCACTTGGGCATCAAAAGGCAGGTGGAAATTCTGGGCCAAGACTGTCCAGAGGCCGTATGACCCCAAACGGATGGTTTGTCTCCCTACGCTTTCCAGGCCACATCCTATCACAGTTCACCCCATCCCCTTCTCACAGGATGAGTTGAGGAGTCTGTTCACCCTTAGTCATGGGAAAATTCTGTCTCCTCCTGCCCCATTTTCCTTGAGGATTCCCCAGAATGAAGACTTTGTGGGAAATGAGCTACTTGAATTCTAATGGATTTTCTCGGTTTTTGTTTTTAGTGGTGATGCTTGTATTTCCAGTTCAAAGAGTTACCTTTCCCAGTGTCAGAGTATTCTGAATAAAATCATGTCGGTGAACCCCCAGTCTGAAATTGATGGCATGAGGAACATCTGGATCTTAAAGCCAGGCGCCAAATCTCGAGGCAGAGGTAAGGGGCCTCACAAAGAGCTTTCCAAAAAGCTGTAAGATGTGCTCTCACCTGGGGAATCGGGTAGGAGTCAGGAGGCCTGGGATCTGCTCCTGGTTCTCTTTCCACTTGTCCATTTTACAGGTGGAGAAACTGAGGCACAGAGAGGGGAGACTTTGCCCAACGCATCTCAGCTGGTTGATGGAAAGAGAAGAACCAAATTTGTGTCTTCTTACTCCCAGGTCCAGGATTCTTTCCATCCCAGCACAGTTACAGACCCTTGAGTGGGTTTCACTGAGACAGCCAGGCCCATTCAGATACTTAACAATACGTCCACATAAATGTAGCCATTGCAAAGAATTCCCTCAGAATCTGAGGATCGATCGGTCACTGGACCTTTATTAAGCACCTACTGTGTGTCAGGCTCTGCACAATGCCCTGGAGAGAGCCAGCAGAGGCTCTCAGTGGTGCACATAACCATCCTCACTCTGCTGGAGTCTGAGTCAGAATCTAACCCTCAGACTCTATCATTTATACAGGTGCGATCTTCATTCAATCCTCCCAACACCCCTGGGAGGCCAGTGCTGTTATTAGCCCCATTTTACAGATGAGGAAACAAGACAGAGGTTAAGGGACTTGCCCCAGGGCCACTCAGCTAATAAGTCTGAGGCAAGATTTGAACTCTGGTCTTCCAGACTCCTGGGACCGCGCCCTGTCCGCTGTCCCACCTGGCTGTCATAGAAAACCACCTCTGTGTATATATGACACTGTCTCCATCAGAAGTGATTCACTACCCACCCACCCCCGCCCAGCCTTCCCCGGGCATGCTCCGTGGGTAACGTCACAGAGGTGGCGTGGGTCAGTGAAGGTGGGGTTTGGCTCTACAGACGGCAACAAATATTATTTTAAAACTTGCTCTGTGGGGGAGGTACAAGATAAAAATAAAACTTGCTTCTTGCCCCCTCAAGAGATTAAAACACCACAAACCCAGATACAACATGCGATAAGGGATAGTATGTAGTAAATATTATGTAACAGTATTACGCAATAAAGGAGCTAGAAGAACATAGCACGGTCTGAGGTTGGGGGGAGAAGGTTCTTCCAGGACAGGAGGAATCAGAGCAGGCTTCCTAGAGGAGGTGGCACCAAGAGCTGCCTGGCCAAAGTATAGAGGCGCTCACTCCTCCGGGGGATGCCAGGGCAGTAATAGAAAAAGAATGGACAGCAGGCCGGCGTGGGCTGGAAAGACGAGGCTGAGGTGCCTGGATGGTCTTCATTGGCCAGGCTCTCGAGAGCCACTGGAGAGCGAATGGTGATATGGTGGAGGAGCAGATAGACAGGAAAGATGCCAAACTCTATTGTGGACATGTGGAGTCTGTGGGGAAGTCGAGGCAGAGAGCCGTAAGGTGTCAGCTCTGTGCCGGGAGGGCTTGTTTGTTCTTCATGCTTGGATCTCCAGTGCCTGGCTTGATAAACACTTGGTCAGTGGGTTGGTTGAAGGTGTGGGAGTGAATGAGATTGCCAAGGGAGAGAGTGAAGAGAAGAGGGCCTAGGGCAGTGCCCCAGGAACCTCCCTAGCAAAGGCCAGGGGCAGGGTGGAGAGCCAGGGAAGGGGAGGCTGAAAGGTTCCTGCAGAAGGGAGCAAGTACCTGGATTCAGAGATTCGTTAGGGCCAGAAGAGAAGGACAAAAAACCCAACAAGGTCCATTGCAGCTAATGGTTAGGAACTCCCCACAACCTTTGACAGAACGGTCTACTGAAAAGTAGACTGGTGGGGGCTTCAGAGAGTGTGGGGAGAGAGGGCATGGACAGCATTTTTAAAAAGCTTGTCATCGGAGGGCAGGAAAAAGATGGAACCAAAGTGTGAAAGGCAGGGAGGACGGAGCAGGTTAGAGGCAAAGAAGGAGAAAGCAGTTGGCAAGGAAGAGATTATGGATCCATGGGAAAGAGGGGATGATGATGGAGGGAGATAAAAAAAATAGGAGACAGATGTTAAAGTTTCTTCCTCCCATCCCCTCTCATCCACTGAAACAGGAGGAGAATCCTCCTTGCCTGGGTCTTCGTGCTTGGCAGGCGCACTGTCATGGGTTGGGTGATGGTGATGAATGCCCCTCTCTGCCTCATGGGCATCCTGTGTTTTCACCACTGGGAATCTCGCTTATGGCTGAGGAAGGAGGGATACCACCTTGCCCGACTTTCCTAAGCAGGAGAGTATGGCAGCTGGGGTGCTGTCAGCCCTGGCCTCCATGGGTGTCTGACCTTAGTGCGATGTCGTTTCCTTTCAGACATCGTATGTATGGACAGAGTGGAAGAAATTATGAAGCTTGTGACACCGGATAACATTCCTTCCAAGGATAACAAATGGGTGGTCCAAAAGTACATTGAGACGCCCCTGCTGATTTATGACACCAAGTTTGATATTAGACAGTGGTTCCTCGTCACAGATTGGAACCCTCTGACCATTTGGTTCTACAAAGAAAGTTACTTGAGGTTCTCGACTCAGCGGTTCTCCTTAGACAGTTTGGACAGGTGAGTACCCCAGACGGAAGGCCACGGTGCCTCTGAGATGGAAGCCGCCCCCTGAAAGGACGTCACCTCTGACTCCCCACTTCCCTTACATTGTTTGCTGACTTGCGTGTCCTTACATTTCTAACAGCTATTGATGGATTGTTTCAGCAGGCGAGCAGGAGGCGTCAGCTGAGGGTTCTCCTCTCATGGGAGGGCCAGTAGCAAGCCTTAGTGGTGACTCACCCACTGGCGAGGCCACAGGTTTGAGAACTAATGAGTCAGTGTCAGTGGGGCATCCTGGGGATTCTGTGGCAAAGCTTTCGAAATATGAACGTAGTGAAGGTGCCTGAGAGCTCAGCGCTGCCTTTCTCTTCAGTGTGCCCTTTTGGCTCCAAGCCTTGGGTGGTCCCAGCATCTGCTTCGGGGAGAAGATTAACCACCAGGGAGCTCCCGGCACACAAAATGCCAGTGCCCTGGGCCTGGCTGGGGAGTGAGGGTGCAGTGGCGAGGCCTCAGTCCCCCTGTCTGGCCTCTCTCACCTCCTTGGCCCGGGAGCCTGTCCACGACTGGCCAGGCCTCATGTGTGCCTCCTGCCTCGTGAAGCACACGGGGGTTTGTGGACTGGCAGATAGAGACTGAAGTCAGAATGAAAGGAAGGCTAGCCCCATCAGGGACCTCCCTGGGCTCTGGCACATTCTTTCCTGCCTTCCCTACAGGAGTGTGTGTGTGTGTGTGTGTGTGTGTGTGTGTGTGTGTGCGTGTATGCGTGTGTGTGTGTATGTATGCGTGTGTATGTATGTGTGTGTGCATGTATGCGTGTGTGAGTGTGTGTGTGTGTGTGTGTGTGAATCTTGAGGTTTAGAACAGGAAGGGACCTTTCAGATCGTTTATTTTATGAACAAGAGGACAGACTCAGAGAGGGGCTGGTGTCTTACATCACACAGTGAGGAAGGTCAAGATCCAGGACAGAAACCCACACCTCCTGCCTCCACGGCCAGCAGCCTCCACCTTCCTCTGCACTTTAGATGGATTTTACATGTACGTGCACACACATGTGATGTATGTATGTAGATGGAACTCCTCTGATGATGGCCTGCTCTTCTCACCCATGGACGCCTCGGCCTCGTGCCCAGCAGCGCGATAAGAAAGGGCCATTCCAGGGTGAGGGGCCCGATCTGGGAGGGGGTCCAAGCTGGTGGTCCATCTGTATTTTGGGGCTTCTTGACCCACAGCTAATAGACTCTCAGGCCCAGCTTTAGGTAGCTAGGTCACCGTTCATGCCCCTTTGTAGCCTGTCTGTCCCCAGCCCCTTTCCTTCCCTCTGTGCTCCACACAGCTCACCTCGCCCAGCCCCCTCACTTTACACATACAGAAACAGAGGCTTAAGGTCATGTATGTAGTTGGCATCAGAGGCTAGATCTGATCCCGGGTCCTGTGGCTCTCAGAGTCACCTCTCTCTCCGCTGTAGCATCCTGCTTCCAAGCTGTCTCCCTCCTCTACCTGCCTGTTCCGCCATGGTCCAGGAGTTCCTCCTTCCTCACCTCCAAGTTCCAGAATCTTCTTCCATCAGATTTACTAAGCTTTCCCTAATCTCCCCAGAGGAAAGATTTCTCACCATGGGTTTTCCCTTGGTTCTTTGCCTGGAGCTCCTTCTACACGCCCACTCTACCTGGAATTCTGCTCATGTGCACCATGTCCTAGCCCTGCTGGCCCCACCCCAGGAGACCCAGCTTCCTGAGGGTGGAGACCAGCATTTTAAGAAATGCCTTCCCTGATCCTAGCAGGCACTGCATAAATACTTGAACCCTCACACATTCAGAAGGTGCTCCCACAGCCTCTTTGTGGCTTTTCTGCTGCCTGGCTTTAGACTCACAAGTAGGATCTGTACACTTTGTTTCATTTAGATCAGAAGCTGGTCTGAATCCTTATCATTTGCATTTTTAAAAGCTCGTTCTATCGTGAATGTCAGATCCTCACATGAAATCCATTTCTGATGATGGAAGGTGGTGGGCAAATGTTTGGAAAGGGGGACGATGGAGATTTCTGTATCCTCCGTAAGTCATGAGTGTCCTGTGTTGCCAAGAGAAACTTGCTGTCACACCTTTGTCTTTGAACTAGAGTTGTTCTATATCCCCTTCTTTGGAGTCATCTCACAAATTTAAGTACTAAAAAGTGTGTGAGAGTGTCTGTGTGTGTGTGTGTGCGCGTGCATGTGTGTGAGTGTGTGAGTGTGTGTGAGAGTGTGTGTGTGTGTGTGTGTGTGTGTGTGTGTGTGTGTGTGCGTTGGGCAGGGCGGGCGGGGTGTGTTGCAGTAGATATCTCGGGAGAAGAATTTTCACATGAGTGTCATAGAGGAGACAGTGGGTCAGTGGGTGGCCAGTCAATTTTTAAAAGTTAATCTCCCTGGGAATAGCTGTGAGCTTTGCAGACAGCACCCTGGGATCTGCACAGGGAGGGAGCGAGGTGTTTCGGTCAAAATTGACTGAACCTCGGCCCCCCCAGCATCAGCCTTTAAGGTTGCCAACCCGAGGCAGGTGAGCGCTTTCTCCTTGGTGAGGGCCTCTAGCCTCACCTCTCACTCTTTCCTCCGGTGAACTTTGACGGGGGCTAGGGACAGGGGGGACTGAGATTTGGGAACTGATTTTAGTGGTCTCAAGGAGGCCAAGACCCTGGACTCTTCGGGACTGAAGAGATAGACCTTGTTTTTGCTTCTCCCAGTCAATGATCTGAAAGCTAGTTTCCTGCCTGATCCTTCCTGCTGCCAGTGGTCTGGAGAGTAGCTCCATAGGCCTGGCAGAGGAGGCCACAGGGGAAGGCCTCGGGGGGAGGGAGGAGGTCCCTCTCTGGCTGCCTGTGACCTGTGGAAGGGTGGCCGAAGGTCAGTCCCAGGGTGGAGCTGGTGGTCTGGTTTTGCTTTAGGAAGGTCTTTGTGAATTAGCTGTGGCAATGATGACAAAATTTCAGCTATCCCTCATCAAAGCCCCCTGACTCTCATCAAGGTTATGGTTGTTCCCTCCTTGGGCTCTTGACAGCAAGAGTGGCCCAAGGTCAGGCCTTCTCAGAACCAAAGTGCTGTCTGAGCGGAGGGGAGACCAGGGGCAGGCCCCAAGCTCTCTGTGCCCCTGGGGCAGAGAGCAGGGAAGCACTGAGGCTGGTGGGCTGGCCCCGGAGGCTCTGGGTCCAGGGTGGGGGTGCCCCCACAGGACTGACGGCTGCCTCATGTGTTCTTTTCAGCTCCATTCATCTTTGTAACAACTCCATCCAGAAGCATTTTAAGAACGCCAAGGACCGCAGCCCTCTGCTCCCCTGCTACAACATGTGGACCAGCACCAAGTTCCAGGAGTACTTGAAGAGGCGGGGCCAGGGCCACATCTGGCACAACATCATCTACCCGTCCATGAAGAAGGCCATCACCCACACCATGAAAGTGGCCCAGGACCACGTGGAGGCCCGCAAAAACAGCTTCGAGCTCTACGGCGCCGACTTCATCCTCAGCAAGGATTTCAAGCCGTGGCTCATCGAGATCAACTCCAGCCCCACCATGTTCCCGTCCACACCTGTCACAGCACAGCTTTGCGCCCAAGTACAAGAGGATACCATCAAGGTCGTTGTTGACAGAAAAACTGACCGCAACTGTGACATTGGCAACTTTGAACTCCTGTGGAGACAGGTAAGCTGCAGGACGCATGGGTCCCCAGGTGGGTTGCGTACCGGCCAGATGTCAGCTCCGAGGTCTCTGGGGGAGGGGTCGCTTATTGGCGACATTAGAGAAGGGCCCCAGATGCCCACGGAGGTCCCTGATGACTCTTATTGAGACTGAGGTTCAGAATGGCTTTGGGAGGAGAACGGCATCCACCGTCTTTAGACTGGCATTCACTGTGACCCTACATGTGTGGGATGCTCTGAACATCCTGGGCTTCTCACTTCCCTAAACCTACCCCCTATTTCCTGCTCCCCAGATCTCTACCTCCCATCCAGCCCTTCAAGCCCAGCTCGAAGCTGTCTCTTCCAGGGAGCCTTCCTGGGTTTGGAGGGCACTTGCTCACTAGGCCTGGGGGACAGCATGTGACATACAGCCAAGGGTGCTGGGCACAGGTGAAGTGGGTGGGGGCTCAGCTCTGCCACAGACTGTTGTCCTGCCTCCTAGGAGTGGGAGGAGCCAACAAAGATAATTTGTGCAAAGGGCTTGCAAACCACCAAGCGCCATATAAAAAAGCCAGCTCGTTATGAAGGCCATTGCCTGTTTACACATCTTCATTTCCTGATAGAGGGCAGACTTCTTGGATTTTCAACCCCACCCACCCCAGGGCTTTGTGTAATAAAGACTTGATGAAGGAGAAGTCCCAGAATGTCAGAGCTGGAAGGGTTTATTAGTTACTGTGTTTAATTTGTTCTTAGGAAGCAGCTGCCCCGAGCAGCTCGGGCCATGCACTCCTGGGTGAGCAGCCCATGGTGAAGGCACAGCAGTGTAAATCTAGGCAATGATGTGGGCACCTAGATAGGGCAGCCTGCAAAGAGGAAAGAGGAGTGAGGTAGGCAGCTTGGGGCTGGCGTTTCAGGGGACAGGTGCGTCTTCCTTCAAAGGTCTAGCCATCCCCTGTGGCTGATGGGGAGGAGCCTTGGTGCCCTGTTCTCACCTTGAAGGGATTCTGGCTGATGTCCCATGAGCCCTGTCTCTGTCTCTTCCTTAGTACCTCCCTGCCTTACCATGACAGGTAAAATTGTTCTTACATGTAATTGGAAAAAACATAAATATTTTCACTTAAAAAAATAAATGCACCCAGAGCAGAAGCCATAGCCACATTCACAGAATCTTAAACAATCAGGAACACTAAGATCTTCCTCACTGACAACCAAAAATCACAATGGCAGAATAACCACAACCATTATAAGCCTTCTATAAGGCTTCCAGGATACAAGAGACCTGGCCCTAGAGCCAGGAAGGCCTGAGTTCAAATCCTGACTCAGACATTTACTAGCTGCAGGACCCTGACCTGGCTGACCCCCTCCCCTTAACTGGAGATGCCAGTGCCGCCTGGCAGATGGGCTCCCCGGTGTAGGGGAGCTCTCCAGGGCAGATACTTTCTCAGGCTGATTTTTGTCTCTCCCCAGCCTGCTGTGGAACTGCCCCCATTCAGCGGCCCCAACCTCTTCGTGGAAGGCTTCAACATTCAGAAAGGAAGGAGACATATGACTCCCATTACCAACATCAGCCTCAGGAGCCCCCTGCCAGCTGGGCTCGTGCTGCGAAACAGATGCTTCAGCTCCCAACAGGACCAGCTGTCTGAGCAGACAACATCTCCCAAGCAGGACGTGAAAATGAGAGAAGACAAGGGACCTCCCTGCCTCTTACTGATGCCTTTGAAGAGAGGGTCGGGAAGAACGTACAAGATAAACTCGGTCTACACAAAGACCCTCAGCAATATGGAATTTCCCTCTTTTGCGATTCGACGCCTAGAAAACATTTCCCATAAAGCTGTGTTTCCCAGAACTAAGACAACAAAGCTTGTGGACACTGATATATTAAGTACTGCCTCCATCGCCTCTGTGCTGCAGAGCATCCGGTCCTTGGAGAACCCTGTGTTCCAGCCGCCCAGAGGCTCAGGTAACCTTTGCTATGTCCCCTCCCCCACCCCAGCCTGCCCATTGTCAGTGAGCCGAGCCGTGCCAGGCTCTGCAGGAGCCCCTCTGGTCACCCAGGAGGGCACAGCCCAAGGTGCTTGGGGCAGCTGCCAGGCCATTGGCACCTCTCGGGGCCCCATTTTCCTCATCATTAAAATAAGTCATCCCCCACCTGGACTTGAGCCCTGCCTCATGGTGCTCAGGAGAGCTTTGGGAAAGCCCAGAGCCAGCTCTATGCAATGAGCCTCGATTGTCTGTGCGCCTGCCCTGTCCTGGAGGGTTTGGGGACATGAGGACTCTGGATACTCTGTGGGGAAAGAAGCCTGGGGCAGTGGACAGAATCTGGGATCTGGGGGGAGAAGGCTTGGGTTCTAACCTAAACTCTTGTGAGTACCGTAGGCAAGATTCCTGCCCTCTCTGGGGCTCGGTTCCCCTCCTTTGTAAAATCTGGGGTCTGAGACAGTCAGCTGCAGCACCATCACTAGCACTTATACAGTCCTTTAAGGCTGAGTAAGTGCTATCTATGTATGTGAGTATTGTACATGCACACATCGACATGTGTGCACAATACTCACATGCCACATGCGGCACGTACAACGCGAAGCATCACACCCATGCACACATGTGTTACGTGTGTGTATATCACGCCTGTACACATGTGTGCATGTATGCCTGCATGTGTGCATGCAATGTGTGTTTATTCATTGGTTGTATACATATGTGTGTTATATGTGAACATATACCTCTATGTGTATGCATATGTATATATGTAATGTATGTGTTATTTGATCTGATCCTAACAGCAATCCTATGAGTTAAGTGCTGTTAATGATCCCGTTGTACAGGTGAGGAAACTGGGGCTGAGAGAGCTAAAGTGTCTTACCCAGGGTCCTGCAGCTAGTAAATGTCTGAGTCAGGATTTGAACTCAGGCCTTCCTGGCTCTAGGGCCAGGTCTCTTGTATCCCGGAAGCCTTATAGAAGGCTTATAATGGTTGTGGTTATTCTGCCATTGTGATTTTTGGTTGTCAGTGAGGAAGATCTTAGTGTTCCTGATTGTTTAAGATTCTGTGAATGTGGCTATGGCTTCTGCTCTGGGTGCATTTATTTTTTTAAGTGAAAATATTTATGTTTTTTCCAATTACATGTAAGAACAATTTAACATTCATTTAAATTTTTTTTGAGTTCCAAATTTTCTCCCACCCTCCCTCTTCTCCCCCCTCATTGAGAAGGCAAGCAATTTGACGTAGGTTATACACATGCAGTCATGCAGAACATATTTCCATATTAGTCGTGTTTGAAAGAAAACACAGACCCAAAATCTCAACAATACAACCCAAGATAAATAAAGTGAAAAACAGAATGTTCTGATCTTCACTCAGACTGCATCAGTTCTTACAGCTGAAGGTGGATCGCATTTTTCTTCATGAGTCTTTTGGATCATTGTATTGCTGAGAATAGCTAAGTCATTCACAATTCACCATCACACGACATTGCTGTTAAGCATGTACACTGTTCTCCTGGTTCTGCTCACTTCACTCTGCATCAGTTCATATGAGCATTTTGCCATTGTGTTCATATAGTCCGAGGTTTGTCTCGGTGGGTAAATTCCCGAGTATTTTATATTGTCTGTAGTTATTTTAAATGGGATTTCATTTTCTATCTCTTGCTGCTGGACTTTATTGGTAATATACAGAAATTCTGATGGTTTATTTTATATCCTGCAACTTTCCTGAAGTGGTTAATTATTTCAACTAGTTTTTAAGTTGATTATTATTAACCAAAAAATATTCCAAGTCCATGAGACATGCATTGCAACTGAATTTATTACAAGAGAAATGAACGTGCATGTAGAACTCCTGTGCAGATACAAGAAATTCAGTGGTGCAAGGAAAACCTTGGATATTTAAGGTACAGAGAAAAGGGCAAGTCATAGGGAGGGGAGAAGGACTAATCCCTCGTGAAGGGGAGGAGAAGGACAATGGCAAAAGCTGCCTTCTTTTCCCTTGGGCACTGCTAGACCATGGTGATAGGAGGGTCTGCTTATCTACAAGGGTGCCAGCTGCACAAACAGTTTCCTAGTCTAGTGCAGACTGGGTGGCACCTGTCTTGACTCACAAGGACACATGCAGAGTCCAGATTGGGGTGCAACCAACAAATTATGTCAGCTCGGGAGTGATGGGGGCTTCATCCTTGACATGTAGTGTTTCTGGAAAATATTGCAACTCAAGAAGACAAGTTTGGGGGCCCCTTAACATTCTCTAGGATTCTCTAAGTGGACCATCATATCATCTGCAAAGAATGGTAGTTCTGTTTCCTTGTTGTCTATTCTAATTCGTTCACTTTCTTTTTCTTCTCTTATTGCTATAGCAATACAATATTGAATAACAGTGGTGATGATGGGCATCTTTGCTTTACCCTTGATCTTATTGGGAAGGCTTCTAGCTTATCCACATTACAGATAATGCTTGCTGATGGGTTTAGATAAATATTAACTATCATTTTAAGGAAAGCTCTGATTCCCATGCTTTCTAGTGTTTTTAGTAGGAATGAGTGTTGTATTTTGTCAAAAACTTTTTGCATCTATTGAAATAATCATATGATTTTTGTTGTCTTTGTTATTGATATGGTCAATTAAGCTGATAGTTTTCCTAATGTTGAACCAGCCCTACATTCCTGGGATAAATCTCACCTGGTCATAGTGTATGATTTGTGATATATTGCTGTAGTCTCCTTGTTAGTATTTTATATAAAATTTTTCATCAGTATTCAGTAGGGAAATTGGTCTATAGTTTTCTTTCTCTGTTTTTGTTCTTCCTAGTTTAGGTATCAGCACCTTATTCTTGTCATAAAAGGAATTTGGTAAGATTCCTTCTTTGCCTGATTTTGCAGATAGTTTATCTAGTATTAAAATTAATCATTCCTTAAATGTTTGGTAGAATTCACTTATGAATCTGTCTGGTCCTGGGGATTTTTCCTTAGGGAGCTCATGGATTGCTTGTTCAATTTCCTTTTGTAAGATAGGTGAGTTTTTGTTAGGTTTTCCCAGGTTCTATTTTCTCTTCTTGGGTGCATTTAAATATTCCAGAGCTGGGCATCATTTGGCTCCAAATGACCCCTTGTAGGGTAGTGGGGCCCACCTGTAAGTGGGTGCTTGGCAAAGATGGAAGGCCTTGCCATGGTGCTTCCCTGGGCAGCCCAGTGTTTCTCTGGGAGCAACCCAAGCTTGGAAAGGGATTGGTGAGATTGAGTCTGACTTTCTGTCTTTTAGAAGAATTACATAGCATGTGTCCCTGAATTATCCTACAAGACCAGTTGGCTCAGTGTGGGACAGGATTTGGTCTAGATTAACCCACTCAAAAGTGCTTTCCTTTGATAAATTACCTGGTGTTTATTGTGTGGGTATGTGCACATACCCATTCGTATTCATGTTGTCCCCTCCACCCCCAGCGTGTAAGCTTCCTGAGGGCAGGAATTGCTTGCCTTTTGTCTCAGGATGCCCAAAACCTGGCACGGCGTTGATGGTGCTCCATAAATGCTTATTCTGCAATGGAAGAATTCACTGTTGTCTATAGTGAGTGAAAAGGAGCCGTGTAGCAGATGCGTAGTTTTTTGTCCTGCCCTCAAGGAGGCTGGTCTACTTTGAGATGGGACCTCCCTCTACTGTGCCCAAAGAAAGATGAGGAAATCCACTGGGCCAAGCCAGAAGAAATCTACTTGTGCTAACAGAGAATGCCATGTTTAGGTCCCATTCAAGAGAAATGGGGTTGGGGTGGGCTGGAGAGTTCCCAATATCCTTGGTGCTGATCAGACCCCATCTGGTATTCAGTTTTGGATGTAAGCTGGAGAGCGTCCAGAGAAGGGAAAATTGGATGATGGATATGTGAAGTCTGTGCTGTGTCAAGACTGATTAAAGATCCTGGAGATGCTTATCCTAGGGAGGAAAGTACTTGGGGAGGGGGACATGGAAGCCATCATTACGTTTTGAAGGGCTGTCACATGGCAGAGGGGCTCAAGAACTAGAAGCAATGGGATCAACATAGGCTGGATGGACAGATGTCGAAAGGCCTGCCTCCTGAGATGGGGAGTTCCCCCTCAATGGAGAGCCTTGAGCAAAGGCTGGAGGGCCATTTGCTGGGGCATATTGTACAACTCATCCAGGTATGGTGTGGACTTCCAGCCCAGAGATCTTGTAGAGGTGGGGGCAGGCTAGACATTCTGTTGACAATAATCTACATTCCCTCGGGCACGAGTGAGTGACTGAATCACCAGAATTCCTCATGCCCACTTGGATTTTGTCTCTTTGGTCTAAAGAGAAGCCCAGCAGAGTAGGAAAAGGAAGCTACACCAGCGAGACAGACTGTTATCATTGAAGGAAAAGGCCAGACCACAAAGAGTGGGTCTGGGGCTGGGGAGCCAGAGCAGCCTCAGCATCTCCATAAGCGAATTTCGTGGTCCTCAGCCTATGGGGAGGGAAGCCTGAGCTTGAAGGGTCAGCAGCCAGAGGGAGTTCCGGGGGTCTGCTGCCGTGTGCTAGCATTGTGGAATCAACGTGCGAACTCTGGAGGACTCATAAATGGCAGCGCCATCGTCCATATCTGTAACCTTATCTTGGAATTCTGTTTTTCAGCTGGGTTCTCATAGAAGGAGTCCCGGGACAAGTCACTAGCCAGCTAGTATTCTTTTATGGACTCTGTTGCTCAGGTGGATGAAGCGTCTGCTTTTTGTAGTTGAATAGAAGAATGAGGGTATAAAGTGATGGTCTGAGTCCCGTACAGTCTCCCAGACTCCCAGATGCCTGAGGGAAGGAAGGACACGGTGACCCTTTTCCAGGCGCCTCATGCGCTGATGACCAAATTCGTCGATGTACGCAGTGAAGCGATAGGGCCTGCGAAGGGGATGAGAGCACCGTTGACAATTGGGACTTGCCTCTGCTCAGCTGTGAGGCTTATCCAGACCCGCCTGCCTGGGAAGCGCTCCCCGCTGAGGGCGTGAGGGCTCCTGCCGCTCACCTAACCCGAGCCTTCTCTTTGCACAGCACTGTTCCCTTTTACAAAGAGTTTCCCGGTCTGTAATCTCGTGAGGAAGGGAGTATGAAAGGGGTCCTCGGTACCCCTAATCTACCCCAAAGCAGGCCAATGGATTGCCACAACTGGTGAACTCTGCTCTGTACGGGAAGGCGGCCTTACCTGGATTCTTATCCTGCAGTATCAGGACTCTGAGAGACTTAATAAGAGTCAATTTCACCAAGGAGGATTTGACGGAAACCCCCCGAACAAAGGGTTAGTGGCGTGGTGCCAACGTCACCATTTCAAGGGAGCACAGAGTGAATGGAGCCTTCTCCACGGGCCTTTCCCCTGCCTCTGTTTGGAGAGGGTCGAGGGTGGCGATCAGAGGCTCCTGCCTAGATCCGTCACTGAAGGAGGAGGACTGGGGTGTCCATCTCGTCATTTTACATCCAGCTGTAAGACTTCATCAGGCCCCTCTAGGTACCCTTTTTTCCCTACCCCCCACCCCCAATGCTTTCCAGCGTCTTTTTATGTCTTGGTTTTTTCCTGTTAGATTGTGAATTCCTTGAGAGCCGGGACTGTCTTTTGCCTTTCTTTTTGTCCACTGGTGCTCAGCACAAGGCCTGACACAACAGGTGCTTTATAAATGTTTATTGAGGCAGCTGGGTGATGCTGTGTATTGAGCACTCAAGTCAGGAAGACTTGAGTTCAAATTTGGACTGACACTAACTGAGTGACCCTGGGCAAGTTGCTTCACCTCTGTTTTCCTTCATTTCCCCAACTATAAAATGGGGATAATAAAAGCAAAAGTACTCACCTCCCAGGCTTATTGACAGTGCCTGGCATGTAGTGGGTGCTATATAAATGCTTATTCCCTCCCTCCCTCCCTCCCCTTTATTGACTGACTGACTGACTGACTGGCCCAAACCCTTCTGGGAATTCTTTGTACATCTACTCCCTGGTTTGGGTCCATTATGTGGGAAGAAGGTGGATATGAATTCCACAGGTAAGAAAATTCAGAGAAACACTTGTGTGCTTGTCCAGCAACCACTAGAATTCCTGAGAGTTTGTCTGTCTAGTACCACTCTTAGAGGCAACAGATGTTTAGTCAGTGATTACTGAAGTCATTGAAGATCACATCGATTGATAGTGCTGCTATTGAGAGAATGAAACCAGATGAATCAAGACGTCTAATTCCCTTTTGTTTGTGTGGCTATGTCTGTGGGCTCGATGATGCCCTGAGGAAACTGAATGCTGGGATATTTGGCTCTGGCCTTTCTGACAGCAGGTTCTGAGCATCACCAGACCTTCCAGAAATTGTCCCCCTAGCCCTGCAGGATGCCAGCGACCCCACTGAGTGAGCCCCCACGAATGTATCTGCCTGAATCAGCCACCCCCCACCCCGTCTTTGTCTTCGGTGATTACGGAGGTAGGATGGTTCAGAGGACTTTCCCTGGCTTCCTGTCCCACTGAGGGTCCTTCTTAGACACAGCATGTGATCATGGACAAGACCCTTACATAAATTCACCATCACCAAAGAGGAGGTATGGTGGCTGCCCCTGGCTGGACAACCCTCTTGTCAAAGTGGTGATCACTGCATTTCATCACTGGCTGCTTCAACCTTGTCTGAGGGAAGACTGAGACATTGAGTAGCCTGAAAGAAGTTTCAACTTCAAAAGCACCATGTCACGAAGAGGCCCCAACCGTCTCCCACCATTCACATCATTCAGAGAAAGGGCTCAAGGAGGAGATGGCGGGAAAGACCAAGCTTGATCTTGGAGGTGTCAAGGCTAGCAGAGGACTTGAAAATCCTCACTTCACAGGCGAAGCACCTGAGGCCAAGCTGGAGAATGGACTTTCTGGGACTGGAGGCCAACACACTCCATTGGCCCAGAAGAGGGTGATGCCGACTCACAAACAGACCCTGTAGACCAGGGGGTACAAAGTGAGCTTCCCACACTCTCCCTCCATCTGTCTGCCCACCCCTCCCTCCCTCCCTGCCCCTGGGGTTCCCATCTCCAGACCTGGGGAGAAGGAGAAACCCCATGGTTGGCCGCTGCCTCTCTTTTCCAACAGTGTCAAGACAGTCACTGTCTCCTTTTGTAACCAATGACCTAAGGCTTCCTGGAGCCGGGTCCCCTGGGGTCCTCCTGGAGCTCTCCCAGGACCAGTTCAAATTCTGCCCCCAGCCACAATTGCCTTGCTCTCCTGTGTGAAAAAACTCACACATCTTCCTGTCACACACTTGGAGGAAGGACAATTTCTTTCCATGTGTTTATCTTTGTTCCCCCACAGCTAGAACTGTGCCTGGCAGGAGACGTTGTAGGTGCCCAAAAAGTGACTATGGAGTGGGGATTGTGGAATGGATCTAACTTAGAATATCTACCTTGGAAGAGTGGTTTCTAGTGGGAGGAATACTATGAAGTGCTCTCATGCCCAGTGATAAATGTGATTATTACATGGTTTTGTGTTCAAATGTTGACTAAGTGAAGCCCTATTTTATTCATGAGGAATTCCTCAAAGCAGAGTCCACTGCCCCCTAATTCCTCTTCCCCCCAAGATACAGCAACCTCCTCACCTGAGGGCCTAGAAGCTCTTACCCTGGCTAGGAGTCTCCTCAGCACTTGTGGAAGAAGAGGCCAGAAGAAGAAAGGAGGGAAGAAGGGAGGAAGGAAGGGAGGGAAGGGAGGAAGGAGGGAAGGAAGAAAAGAAGGAGAGAGGAAGGAAGGGAGGGAAGGGAGGGAGGAAGGAGGGAGGGAAGGAGGAAGGAGGGAAGGAAGGAAAGAAGGAGGGAGGAAGGAAGAGAGGGAAGGGAGGGAGGAATGGAGGAAGGAAGGGAGAGAGGGAGGAAGGAAGGAGGGAAGGGAGGAAAGAGGGAAGGAAGGAAAGAAGGAGGGAGGGAGGAAGGGAGGGAGGAAGGAAGGAGGGAGGAAGGAAGAGAGGGAAGGGAGGAAGGAAGGAAAGAAGGGAGGGAGGAAGGAAGGAAGGAGGAAAGGGAGGAAGGAGTGAAGGAAGGAAAGGAAGGAGGAAAGGAAGGGAGGGAAGAGAGGAAGGAATGGAGGAA